CTTCGGTATTGCCCAAAACCATCACTGTGGTTCTGGCATTCATGGCCACCCAACCAGGAACAAAGAGGACCAGATGGATGGGGAAAGGACTGGCCAGTTCCATTGTTATCTCTTGTTCTCTCATTCAAGTAGGCATTTGTACCGTGTGGCTGGCAACCAGTCCCCCATTCCCAGATGCTGATATGCACTCAGGAACAGGTGAAATTACCCTGGAATGTAATGAGGCATCCCCCATCATGTTTTACAGTGTGATTGGGTACATGGGCTTTTTAGCCATTGCCAGCTTCATTGTGGCGTTCTTTTCAAAGAATTTGCCCGATAGTTTCAATGAAGCTAAATTCATCACTTTCAGCATGTTAGTATTCTGCAGTGTATGGCTGTCATTTGTCCCAACGTACCTGAGTACCAAAGGAAAATACATGGTTGCTGTGGAGATTTTCTCTATTTTAGCTTCCAGTGCTGGATTGCTGAGTTTCATATTTTTCCCCAAATGGTACATTATTGTTCTGAGGCCTGAACTGAATAACCGAGAACATCTTAAGTGGAGAAACCACTGAAGAAGCAAGAAAGGTGTCTTGGCAAGCCATATCTGTTACATCTCTTCCAGGTAAAACACAACACAACATAACAGATTTAAATCAGTGGAGATACACTGAAGTGGAAATTGAAAAACATATGAAGAATCTCTTTAATTCTAGCTTTCCATTTTCATTCAATTTAGCAGAACAACAGTAGAACATCCTCATATTCTTCTAAGAATTAGAGGTCCTTTCAGTAATTAAGCAGTCTGCACTGAAGTTGAAAGATTTCCCTCCACTACCACAAGGCATTGCACCCTTCAAATATTCCTGACCCTTGATTATGCTCAATTGCCTCTACACCAGTTGGGCTGGCTTGACTGATATGTTCTGGCAGCACCCTGCAAGATATTCAGTCCACACTTCAGGTTGACATTTTATCTCATTTGATAATTTCCCTGCCGCTGTACCTTCCAAACTTTTTCTTCCAAAACAACAATTTTCAATCGTTCAAAGGTTCAAATGTTCAAAAAATTCCTTTTTTTCCTTAGGGATAAGTCTTTCAGGACATATATACATTTATATGTATGCATATATAGTCACATACATATAACATTATATGATACAATGTTAAATTTAATTTATATGTACAAAGCTAAAGCATTTGCAGGCACAAACAAGCAGCTTTAACATTAAAAAAAAAAAAAAAAACACCTTTCCTTGCATTTCCTTAGCTGTTGCTCAAGAAAGTTAGCTGAAGCTACTCTTACAGAAGGTCTTTCTCACTTGCCTAGTGGTTATAACGCTGGACTGACCTACAAATGTACCCAATTCAATATTCACTAAAAACTTGAAGCAAAGTATTTTTTTCTTTCCTTGAGTTAACTAATTTTCCACTTTAAAAAAAAAAAAGAGTCTACTAGGGTACCATTTGAAATCATTGTGGCTAATTCTGAATAAGTGTCAGGTTCAGCCCAAGAACCACAATGAGGTCATCCTTTATTGACCATTACCTATTAGAAAGAATCTTGCCAGACTAAACTTATCTACAGCTACTAAAGAATATACTCCATGAGGTTCTAGGGAGGACCCAGCCTCATCCTCTTCGTTGTCCCACAGTCCTGTTGTGGGCTGAGGATGTGCTTGCCCTAGAATGTCTTTCCCCTCTCCTGACAACCTTGAAGCTCCATTCCAGAATCTTCCCCACTCAAGCTATCCATCTACAATAAGTAGTGTTCTGCACAATTGTTATATGTTTTAAGCATTATGTCAAAAAGAAGAACCAAGGAAAATGAATAAATAGTAAGCTGCAGGTGACTGTATTTGGGAAAACCTGGGAAAATGAGATGAAGGGCCATTCCTGCCTCACTAAAGTAGCCAAACTGGAGGCATTGGCTTAGAAGAAAGTGAAGCCCAACAGGCAAAACACATGGCAGCACAATGGCTAACATAAGCAGTAATACACTATTTTAATGTGAAAGAGAACATGCCAGGACCTCACCTTTGTGATGAGGAGAACAGGGTGACATCATCTGTTCCTGCCCTCTAAAAATGGTTGCCAGTCCAAACAGCCAATGGGGCAACCTGTCATTATAGACAAGCCCTCTGGTTTAGAAATGCTTGAGATATTGTCTCCCAGATTTTTCTTTATTAAGAGAATGCAAACATTAAATGAAATGTGAAACAAGCAAACAGCCTTCACTCAAAATGTGGAAAACAGGCTAGCATTATCATGCCATCTCCCAGGACTGTGTTTCTAAAAATGAATTGCTTTCCGGCAAAGTATGCTGGAATTGTTTATTTTGGAATCCATTCTATTTCACCAGTGTTTACTTCAGATAAGGTTATTTAATAAGCACCAAAGGAAAATACATGGTTGCTGTGGAGATTTTCTCTATTTTAGCTTCCAGTGCTGGATTGCTGAGTTTCATATTTATCCCCAAATGGTACATTATTGTTCTAAGGCCTGAACTGAACAACCAGGAGCATCTTAAGTGGAGAAACTACTGAAGAAGCAAGAAAGGTGTCTTTGAAGATGACTTCTACCATATTCCTTCCATTTTTTTTTTAAGAAAGAAAAGAAAACATACCAGATTTCAATTAGTCGATATGCACTAAATTGGAAATGATATGAACAATCTCTTTAATCCTAGGTTCCTTCCTTGAGACCATTTAACAAACAGAAATAATACATCTTGACATTCTTTTAGGACTTATAAGTATTTGCAATAATTTTATTTTTTAGAGGTTAAGAAAACTTGTCCTTTTCTTACTATGTTGCAGGTGAAAGACTATTAATTGTTCTGAATATGCATAAGGAGAATTTTTAGAAATATTCTTATAAGTATATTGCAAGTTGTTCTAGTATCCTTTTGTTGTATTGTTTCTGATTTTACAGTGCTCTTGAAAAAGGAATACCATTTCCAAATTGTTGGGCCTAAATTAAAAACAAAACAAAAATACTGGCACTTAGTATTCCTACATATACTAAGCATTCCTTAGTATTCCTTTGTTGAGTTCAGTGCGTGCCCTCCTCTTTCACTGGCTAGAATATAATCCTATAGTGCAGGATTTTCTTCTCCTTGTAGACACGGCTCACTTCTTACTAACCTCTGTTAATAGTCCCCCAGACTGATGAGATCAAAGTACAGGCACTGTTTTACAGTTTGAGCCACTGTCTTTTGGGAAATTATGGAATACTCTTCCTCCGTGGGCTAGGCTAGCACCTTCAATATTGGCGTTCTGGAGGTTAGTTAAGTTTGAGCTGGGGTTATTTGGGGAATGAATGTCACCATTGTACCTTAGGTCTTTATATTGTTGTACTATGATATACCTTTTGAGGAATAAACTTACAGCTTTTATTATTGCTTGTGTTTTTCTTAGCTTTATATTTTTAGTCTGTTTTTATGTATCTATGTGGTAACCCTCCAGGAGATATTTTTGTTGAATCCAGCAGTATATAAACATGATTTTAAAAATTAAAGAGATAAAGAAATATTTGAAATTACTTTTTTACCTTGGGACACCCAGGTTCAATTCCATTTTTAGTCATGGAAGCTTATTGTATGACTTAGTGACAATCACTTCCTCTCAGCCCAATGACTGTTGTGGTAGGGAAAATCAGAGGAGTTAGTGCTGCTCCTGGAAGGAAGGTAAGCTATAAATTCAACAAATAAAGTAGGTAATTAATCATTCCACTTGTTTCCACTTGTCTATTGTGTCAAATTTTTGTCTTGATCTGCACTGAAGATATTATGACATTGTTTCTTGGAAAGCAGAACTGGTGAACTTTCAGGCTTTTTGATATCATTATTCCAATTCCACAGAAACAATGGGATTCTAAGGAGTTCTTTGCAAGGCAGCCTTGAACTGCTTGATTCTTATGCATAAACAGGCTGGAAATCAAGCCAGTTTAGGAAATCCCTTTTGGGAATTCAACTTCTTCCTGTGTTGACCCTTTACCCCTTCCACCTGTATGGGGAAAGGACATACCAACTGCTTTCCATTCCACTGAAAAAAATTCCTGTATGAGCCTCACTCTGTTTATTCTTTCTCATCTTTGACACTTCCCATCATCTGGGTATTCTGTGGAACAGAGAAAGAAAGAAGGCAGGAAGGCAGGAGGAAGGAAGGAAGGAACAAAGGTCTCTCAAAATTTTAAATTTTGTTTGTTACATTAGAACAACAAGATGAAAGTAAGCAATATGGAGTCCTTGCTGCTCTCTGAGCTTGGTTGTTTGTTTGGAGATGTTTCATTACCCAACTAGGTAACATCATCAGGGCAGGGGAAAAGAAAACAAAAACAAAAACAAAACAAAACAAAACAAAACCCAACCAATCCCCCCCCCCCACACACACACACCCCTTGCAGAGCAGAGAGATTGGAGAGGAAGGATTACAAGGGACTAAGCAGGCACACAATGGGGAATGCACCAGCTGTTTGTTGTGTGCGCTCATGGCTTCTGGCAGAAGTGCATTGTTTTCAATTTATATTCCCTATTTTGTGCCTGCTTACTCTCTTGTAATCCCTTCCTCTCCAATGAATGTAAATACAAAAATTAATGCCCTTCTTGCTAATTATCCCAGCAATGGGGTGAACATTCCAGAGGGCAAGGGAGTGGTTAGGAGGCAAACAACAGCCAAAGGTGCGAAACTGATTAGTCTTCTCAATTTTGAGCCAGCTATACCAGCACCATGGTGCGTGTGTGTGTGTGTGTGTGTGTGTGAGCATTCTAAAGGGAAAGGAAGTGAGGAAAAGGAAAGCACAGTGGTGGTCACATGATTTCCCACATAGCGACTGCTTTGCTTAGTGACCAAGTTGCTGGTCCTAATTGTGGTCACTAAATGTGGACTACCAGTACTAGGATAGCAATCTATTTTTTTCACAAAAGGAGAAAAATACAGCTAATATAAAATACATCATGTAAGGAACTTTAAGACCCTGACATTACTGATATTACGTTTTCTAGAATTTCCATCTTCTCATGCAGGCCAGTTATGTGATGAAATATTTGCATTTTTCCCTCTGGAACCAGAGCACGATTTGATCTTTTGAAGTTCTCTGCTTTATTTATTTATTTAACTTTCTGTTATCCTAAAAGAAGAGAGAAATTTCTTCTGTCTAGTGAGGAAAATATTTTTGGCAAAGCTATAATTAGTACCCTAAAACCACAATATAATTATTGCAATTAGTCCTGCTGCTCTCTAAATTGCCTCTGGACCTGAGGTAGAGAATAACAAAGCGGTTGTTATGAACGGTGGTACAAATGCAATTCCCTCACCCATCATTCAAACATTTAATATGGAGAAACTTTATGTCAGTTTGATCTCTGATACCTTACGTGTTGTTTTTGAGGGATGGAAAATGAGACAGTAGAACGGATAAGATTCTATTCTTAGCACATGTTCATTACTGAACTCTGTCTTCAAATAATGGTACCTGCATTGAAAATGAAAATTTGCTCTGGGTATGGAATCATCAGTGATATTACTACTGGTGCTGCTTCCCTGCGTGTCATGTAAAGCTGCTAGATGTGGATCCCAAAATCTTCATCCCATTCTTCACCAATATTACCAGCCAGGAGACATTATATTTGGTGGCATTTTTTCCCAAAGCTTCATCTTGTCCGCTCCAGAAGACTTCAGCCAACAACCTCGTCCAATATCATCTGAAGAAATTATGTACGTTTCCCTTACAATACAGTTTTTGGCAGAGTTTTACATTGCTTGCCTTACTTTTACAACACTGCCTTTTGTTTTAAAAATAAGTAACATGTTTTACAAAGTATAGTATATAATTGTAACTGATGAAAATCTTCTTTTAGTGTGGTGACTAAGAACTATCAGCACGTCTTGGCTTTGGAATTTGCAATAAAGGAGATCAATGAAAATCCCTTCCTTTTACCCAATGTCACCCTGGGCTTCCACATGTATGATATCTACTCTGATGCCAGATTGACTTATCGAGCCACAATGCAACTTATTTCCATGAAGAACAGATTGACTTATCGAGCCACAATGCAACTTATTTCCATGAAGAACATATTTATTCCCAACTACAAGTGTGATCTCAAGGACAAACTAAGTGCAGTTATAGGGGGACTTCACTCAGAGACCTCCCACCTGATAGCAAATATTTTGGGCACCTATAAGATTCCACAGGTAAGATGTATGTCCAGAATATGGAAATAAAAGAAAATGGGGTGTTCCAGGTTTAATTTTATCTTTCATGGGCCCAAATCCATGCATTTCATGCAGATAGGGATATCTTCTAATTAATGTTATATCTGAATTAATGAAAATATTTTTTGTATCAATTCAATTCAAATAATGTATGCTTCATGGATAGGCATATAAGAGGCTGCTACCATCCATAAAATACTGCTCAGCTTAAAAACTGTATACAAATTGTGTACATTTAAGTTGTGATAGAGAGATAGAGAGTAAAAAAATATTGTTTGGGAAACCTGTTTATAAAACATGGGATAAATACATTTAAAGAATATGTTAATGAGGAAATTGGAAACAACATAGGAAAATATAAAAATTATTATCTTTAGGATGCTACAGATAAAGATTACCACTGAGATTTTGAATTTTAAAAAGAAAATATTTTTTCCCATAAAATATGCATCGGAGAACTACTCCTCTGACATGTAACTTTAATCATACATATTTAGAGTAATGTGCTTAGGACTGTCATTTCTATTTTCAAAGAGAAGTAGCAAGGCCTCAATCGCTATTATCACCCAATGATACCCCCACCCCACTCTTAGGTTGCCATTTACACTCAACATTGTTGTTACTGTAAATGAAATTGTCCTTCAAAATAAAGAAATGTCCTTCTTTTCTATAAATGCTATAAAGCAGAGTTAAACTCCAGCCTTTTGGTAGCCTCAGTTATTCTTTTTGAAGTGCATCATCAATGGGATTAATGTGAAAGAATTGTAGAAAAGAAATCATTTTTTAAAAAAATTTAAAACAAGTCATTGCTATAGGAGAAACAAAGAAAGAATCATTGTCCTCCTCTATTATATTGATATAACAAACAATGCAGCAAAGATTTATAGATATTCATTCCCATGGTAAATCACTAGAAATATTTAGGTTAATAATGTTAGATTGGGATAAAATCATCATCATCATCATCATCATCATCATCATCATCATCATCCATGAGTCACAATACACCTCACAAACCAACATTGTATTCAACATTTTTGTACACCTCCTTACTTCACTTCCAAATCTGATTGTAGCTCCTGTATGGCTCCACTCCAGAGAGGATGTATAAAACTGAATTCCTTTCCCCATATCGGATGGTTCCAGATGATGCCCTTCAGTATCTAGGAATTCTTCAGTTACTCCTCCATTTCAAATGGATATGGATTGGATTCATTGCTGATGATAAAGATAATGGAGAAATGTTTCTAGAGCTCATGCTTCCATTATTTTCTGAGAGTGGAATCTGTTTAGCTTTCATGGAAATATGCCCCGAGAATGTAAGCTTTGATGATTATAAGGAAGACATTATAAGGAAAGGATCTGAAATGTATGAAAAAATCATGACCAGTGCAGCCAATGTTTTTGTCTTCTATGGAGAAGCTGATTCCATCATATTTTTGAGATGGGTGCTATACTTCCCAGAAATAGAAGTCAATTTATGCAAACCAAAGGGTAAAGTCTGGATACTTACTGCCCAGATGGAGTTAAAATCGCTTGTCTTTCAGTGGGTTTGGGATATACAGGTCATCCATGGTGCTCTGTCCTTTGCAATTCATTCCAAAGACCTGCAGCAATTCAAAGCATATATTCAGGGAAGGAACCCTTCCAGTGCAACAGGAGATGGTTTGATCATAGATTTCTGGGAACAGGCCTTTCGCTGTGTTTTCCCCAGTACTTTCCAGGGTCAAATTGAGGGTGACATCTGCACTGGAGAGGAGAGGCTGGAGAGCCTTTTGGGGCCCTATTTTGAAATAAGCATGACTGGCCATAGCTACAGCATCTATAATGCTGCCTATGTGGTGGCCCATGCCTTGGATGCCATGTTCTTATCCAACGCCAGAGCTAGAACAATGATGGAAGGAGATAGGACAATAAAACTGAATTATCAGCCATGGCAGGTAAGTCCTGTGAGAAATGCAACTGCATAACCCAGCACTATAAGCATATGTCAGTAGTAAGCTTCCAGGCCATCAAAACAATAGGTGTGTTTGTAATAAATACAACCAAAGATCAGTGGGTTTAACAACACCCATGCAAACAATGGCTAACACCTCCCTCCTTAGGACCTCACGTCGTTTGTGAATGGGAGGAGGGGACAGTTTCATAAGTGTGTTACTCTGTCATCAGAAAATGGATGGAAAATTTGAGATTTCAAATGTGATTGAAATAAATTGGTATAAGGCAAAGTATGGCTATGCCCAGGAATGTTTAATATTATATCCCCAAAAGGCAGATATTTAGCTTCCTAAGGAAAGATTGGCCAGGAGACATGGAGACACCATAGATGAGTCATTTCTGGGGTTTGGAATTGTAGGAACAGGCTGTTCTGGGCTAGATTAAACTCTCCCAAGCAAGAGATCTGTAATCTGAGGAGCTTCTAGATCCATATAATGTCTTCAATGACTTCATTGACTAATGATGTGCCTTACCAACTTGGAAAATCTGATTATGTCAAACATGGATTACTATAATATATTCTAGGTGGAAGCTTCTATGTGGAAGCTATTTGGAAGTTGGAATTTCAGAATGCTAAATTACCATGCATTTATTTCCACTTTGCTAAAAGTTCATCACATAGTGCAAGTCTGTTACCAAGTCAGATTCAGGTGTTGGTGTAAATATATAAAGATACAAACAGCACAGGACCAGGTTACCTTACCATTTATATCAACTCCTCATTCCACAGACATTCTGTTACTTATGGCCTCTCATGCAGATTTCCACCTTGCCACAAAATAGAGATTTCTCTGCAGTGGTGCCTGCTCTGAAGAATGATTCCCCCTCTCTTCTATTCTAGGATGCAGCACTGATATCTGTTAAGCAGTCTTTGAAAATGTATCCTTTGCTCATCCCCCAGCTCACACTATTCAGCTTAAACTGTGAATTATTTAATTTGATAATGTTGTAACCATTCTGTTATTAATAGACGTTAGAAGTGATGCACACAAAACTGTTTATATGTCTTTTCAATTTAGCTTCACTCCTTTCTGAGGCAAGTCTCATTTAACAACAGTGCAGGAGATGAAATATTTTTTGATCAGAATGGAGTGGTAGTAGCAGGATTTGATGTTATAAACTGGATTACATTCCCAAATCAGTCCTTTGCTAGAGTAGAAGTTGGAAGAATGGATCCCAAAGCCCCTAATCCTGACCAGGCATTTACCATCAACAATGATGCTATTGTGTGGCACAGCTGGTTTAACCAGGTATGACTTCAATGCAGTCTCTGGGGAAGTACCCACATTTTCCAATCATGTAAAGACAATGAAATTTAAGGAATGGAATCCAAATAGCATTGTTCTCCTCAGCTCTGAAAGTCTATTCTCTTCCTGTAAAGATTGCATGATGGCCTCTTATCTTACCCACCTTTGAAAAGAGATGCAGTTCTCCTAGCCACATAAGATGTTATTTCATTTTTCTTTTGATGGAGGATTGGATTATTGGACACGTGATCTCCTTTCAAGTTCTATTTACTCTATGTGACCAACACAGTTATTTCAAATGCATCTGAAATATTTCTGAAGGAAAAATGCCATGTTTTATTGTTGCTTTTGTATGATGAGATATAAATGTTTCAGAGGGGAAACAATTGGGATGATTTATGATGAACAAAATAACACTCTAAGTCTTTGTGTGTACTGTATGCTCTATTGAATTTACCCAAATGTCAAGGAAATGAAATAAGAATGAAGTTTTATTGGGACTCTAATTCAATCAAAACTCTTTTTCATACTCCTCCTTCTAAAAGAGAGAATGCCTAAAGAACTTTTGAGACTAGGGTATGTGGCTGTTTAATTTTTATTTTCTCTTTATCTTGTTTGAGTTTTAATTTTAACATGGGTGTTTTATTTATTTTATTTTTATATCATGTCAAGAGTTGTGAGATTGATGCAGGATATTAATAAAATAAAAAAAATAAAACCATCCTGAGAAATATTATTTCAACATCCTTGTCCCAAAGCACTTTGTTTAAAGAAGTCTGCTGAAACCATTCATTGTGATTAGAAGTTAGAACTATTCCCTTGATTTGCCCTGATTCTTCTCACTAGAATTTTCCATATAGGAAGAACTTAAGTTTTGAAAACAACTTATCTTCAGTTGAATAATCCAGATTCAGTCTTAAATTTAGGATGTTACTTTGCTTTGCTTTGCTTTACTTCAATTTTTACATTCCTCCTGCTGAATTTTTACCATGTAAGGGAGGGGAAAAATCCCGCTGTCTTTGATACTAAGGAATCTGATGATTTCTTATATTCCTTATTCTTCATACTTTAAGAATTCATTTCTTCTTCTATTTTATTGATGCATTAGGCACAGCCTCTTTCTGTTTGTAATGACAATTGTCGTTCTGGATATAGCAAGCAAAAGAAGGAAGGGAAGCCGTTCTGCTGTTATGACTGTATTCCATGCTCAGAAGGGAAGATCTCTACATTACCAGGTGAGAGTTGTGCACTGGTTACCAAAGAGGTTCATTATATTTGAAAGAAAGTTATATGCTGGTCTCTTTGTCCAAAACAATCCTTATTCTCTATTTAAAATATGCATTTGATGGCTTAATCTGTAAGAATGTCTGTTAATGTCATAACATTAAAATAAGTGCACTCCGAAAGTATTCAGACCCCTTTCACTTTTTTCAATTTTGTTATGTTGCAGCCTGATATGACAATCGTTCAAATTCATTTTTTTTCTCATTAATCTACATTCAGTACCCCATAACGACAAAATGAAAACAGAATTTTAGAAATGTCTGTAAATTTATTAAAAAGAAAAAACTGAAATATCACATGTACAGTACTTAAGTATTCAGACCCTTTACTCAGTACTTTGTTGAAGCACCTTTAGCAGCAATTATAGCCTCAAGTCTTTTTCGGTATGACATGACAAGCTTTGCACACCTGGATTGGGGGATTTTCTGCCATT